ATAAACCATTTCTGATATTTTTGTTGAACTTCTATGCTAATAGTAAATACATACTGATATAAGTTTTTCAACTGCATCAACATTTTGACCTCAACCTTTCCGTTGACCTTGACCTCTCTTTTCTCAAATAAGTGTTAAGCTCAGTTTTAAATAAATCATTCAAGATATTTTTATCAAACCTAATAGTAATATGCTGATATGTATTAGTGAGAGCTCTTCCACTGCATCAAAAACTTGAAAATGAAAATTCCGAAACCTTACTGCACATCAACATGACACCACCAACCATCTCCCAAAAGACGATTAGGCTACTGTGTAAAATGTAAGAGGAGTTCTGGGAACCAGGGGTTTTTTGCATAAAAAACGTCATATTTCGACCCTCATTTGACCCCCAGGGTGAAAATGAAAATTCCAAAACCTTACTGCACATCTATAGGACACCACCAACCACCTCCCAGAAGACGATTAGGCTACTGTGTAAAATGTAAGAGGAGTTCTGGGAACCAGGGGCTTTTTGCTTAAAAAACGTCATTTTTTGACCCCCATTTGACCCCCAGGGTGAACATGAAAATTCCGAAACCTTACTGCACATCTGCAGGACACCACTAACCATCCCCCAAAAGATGATTAGGCTACTGTGTAAAATGTAAGAGGAGTTCAGGGAACCAGGGGCTTTTTGCATAAAAAACGTCATTTTTCAACCCCCATTTGACCCCCAGGGTGAAAATGAAAATTCCGAAACCTTACTGCACATCTACAGGACACCACCAACCATCTCCCAAAAGACGATTAGGCTACTGTGTAAAATGTAAGAGGAGTTCAGGGAACCAGGGGCTTTTTGCATAAAAAACGTCATTTTTCGACCCCCATTTGACCCCCAGGGTGAAAATGAAAATTCGAAACCTTACTGCACATCTACAGGACACCACCAACCATCTCCCAAAAGATGATTAGGCTACTGTGTAAAATGTAAGAGGAGTTCAGGGAACCAGGGGCTTTTTGCATAAAAAACGTCATTTTTCGACCCCCATTTGACCCCCAGGGTGAAAATGAAAATTCCAAAACCTTACTGCACATCTACAGGACACCACCAACCATCTCCCAAAAGACGATTAGGCTACTGTGTAAAATGTAAGAGGAGTTCAGGGAACCAGGGGCTTTTTGCATAAAAAACGTCATTTTTTGACCCCCATTTGACCCCCAGGGTGAAAATGAAAATTCCGAAACCTTACTGCACATCTACAGGACACCACCAACCATCTCCCAAAAGATGATTAGGCTACTGTGTAAAATGTAAGAGGAGTTCAGGGAACCAGGGGCTTTTTGCATAAAAAACGTCACTTTTCGACCCCCATTTGACCCCCAGGGTGAAAATGAAAATTCCAAAACTTTACTGCACATCTACATGACACCACCAAACACCTCCCAAAAGATGATTAGGCTACTGTGTAAAATGTAAGAGGAGTTTGAGAAATAAGAGTGTGACAGACGGACGGACGGACGGACGGACGGACGGACAGACATGAGTAACAACAATATACCCGAACTTTCTTTAGAAAGTGCGGGTATAATAATAAGAAACAGTAGAATCACTATAGGTCTTCCGTTGAAAACGGAAGACCTAATTAATTTTAAAAGGGTCCAAATTTAGTGAGCCCCGATCTTTTAACTGGTGTCATAATTTCATAAATATTATGGATTCTGTGGAAGATTACGCCGGGCGATGGGCCAGACATTAAAAAAAAACCTTGGCACATTGTCAGAATGGATTAAATGTATCGGATGTTTGTTAAAATCTCGAATTAAGCGATTGAGGGGCAAAATGGAAAACTAACTATCCTTCTGTGTTTAATATCTCAGAAGTAAAAAAAAAAATTAAATAGATTACACGATCAGTACGTACTGGTCCCTAATGACAAAGCAGATAACAACACTGTCTTTGTTTGTAACGCTCATTATTTAAATTGTATTTTAGAGGAACTGGGATTTAATTCTACAAGTGATAATCTAACTAATACCCATAGCTCCCTTTCTAAGGAGGAAATTCTTCAAAATCATACATGTATGTCAGTTTTGAATAGTTTTAATATTCCCAACAACCAACATGAATTTGAATTACCATATCTATATTGGATTCCGAAACTTCATAAAAATCCTTACAAAGATACATGGCGGGTTCCATTATGTTCTACCAAGCCTTTTTCTTTACTCCTCACTAAAATATTAACAGTAGTGAGGAGAAACTTCAGGAGTACTGTGAAACAATATATTTGAGAAGTGGTGTAAATCAGATGTGGATACCTTAAAATTCCAAGGAATTTTTGGGAAAAGTTGAAATCATAAATTTTACCAAAATCAATAAAAACTTTCGACTTTTCAACTTTATATACAACCATTCTCCCACGATAAATTAAAGTCCAGGCTATTTACAGCTGCTTTTTCAATAAAAATGGAACTCGTAAATTTACTTACCTTGTCATTGGTCATTTGCAAACTTATTCTGTTAAAAAAAACAGTTTGATTGTACACACAAGTACTCTGAAGTTGATATTAAAAAGATGTTTGAGTTTGTGATTGACAATATCTATGTGGTTTTTTTTTTTTTTTTTTTTTTTTGGAGACCAGGTCTTCCAAAAATCTATTGGAATTTTCATGGGTACCAATTGCGCCCCATTATTTGCAGACCTATTTTTGCATTCATATGAAGCAGAATTTGCTCCAAATGATATACGTGAAATAAAGAAAACACTTGCTGTGGCCTTAAAATCAACATTTAGATATATCGACGACGTATTTTCAATTAACAATGGCTATTTCCATTATAATGTCTATACGATATATCCCGGTGAGCTTAAAATAAAAGAAACTACAGAGTCTGACACATTCATATTTCATGTGAAATTTCATATTTGAATATTTTACTACAAAAGGACGTTAATGGTAATCAACCAAGCTTTGTGATAAACGTGATGATTTTAACTTTTCAATCGTCAATTTCCTCTACTTATCAACTTAGCAATCTACCTTCATCACCTGCATACGGAGTTTATATCTCTAAGTTGATTCGATACGCAAGAACACGCTCTACATATGTACTATTTCTAAAACGAGGTAAGTTATTGACAAGCAAATTGAAGAAACAAAAATATCAGCAGTCTTGTTAAAAGTTGTTATTTTGGAAGTTCTATGGTCGATACAATGACCTTGTCAACAAATACAATTTATTATTATGTCAAATGCTGACTGAGTTTTTCATACTAATTGTTAGTCCATTATTTACACACTAAATTGTCGATGGATTTTTTTCCGTCCTTTCCCGATCATGACAAGGATATTCGATGTGACCGGTCGGAAGGGGATGCTCACTCCTCCATGGCACCTGATCCCCCTCCGATGTTTTAGAGATCCTTGTTTGCTCTGCTCCAAAATTTGTATTGTTTAATGGACTTTTGATCTTTAAAAAAACTGTTCGTTATCTCCATATATTTGATGTATAAAGTAACATAAAGATATTATCCAGATATCATTATTAAGTCTACTGAAAAGGTAATAGTCAATCTCCAAATATGTATAATGAGAAAAAGAATACACTGATTCATAACTTAAATCAAAAATCCCGATATTTCGGTACATCATAGTGGTGTACACTAATCCTAGAAACAATCTTCTGACCAAAAAGTTTTCTCCCCACAGTATTGCGAGTACTGCTTCAGCTTGATTACTTATCTATCTGCTATGGACTTTGTCCATCCTTCTGTATGTCAGTCTATCTATGTGTGCATGTGTGTGTTTGTCAATCTCTCTCTCTCTCTTCAAGATCCTAGTAAATATACGATAGTAAATATTCGGCGACAAAATGTTCAAATGTTCCCTGTACATATTGATGCATGACTATACATTTTGTAGTCTTCAATATGAATTGTCAGTTAAACAGTTGAAATGAAAGTTGATGACAGGAGGGTATCTACAATCTCGTTATCTTGTTTAAAGTCAACATTTCGCAAATTCTATGGTCGATAAGTTACCTTGTGGGAAAATACAATCCGTCAGTAAGACAAATGTTCAATCAAGTCATACAATATGTTCGACTATTACATGTTCTATAATATTGAATTGCCTACGGATTGTCTCATTTACCTAGCATAACAAAGGCCAAACTGCGAGCCTCACAGGTCAACAGAGGATGCTAACTCCTCCATTGCATTTGATCCCATCTCAAATATTTTTCAGAAGTCGGTGTTTGCTCTGCTCACAATTCGTATTGTTTCATAAGACTTTTGAGCAGTTTATCTGTTAGTTATCTTCACATCTCTTAAAAAATTCAATAGCCATAAGATAGGCCTATCATAGTCATATTATTATTCTTAAAGTAAAATTCGTCACAAAAATTTATTACATTTTCAAAAGTGAAATACTGTGATTTTTTTGTTTCAAGAATAAAAGTGATGTTCTTTCACAGTGTGAAAGGATACCAAAATGATATTCTGTCACAGTGTGAAAGGATATCAAAGTAAGTAGAAATGATTTCTGGTCTGTCATAAGAGAGGGACAGTAACTAGACCATCTTGATAGAGACTAAAACTGAAAATTTCCTCCTAAATATATTGCTAAAATCAATGTTACAATTTAATATTATGACGTCACAACCGCTTAGCTACATGACGTCACAATCTATAACACTGTGTTAAGAAAAGACAGAGGCAAAGAGAAATCAAAGAAAATGTAATAAACAGAAAATTCAATGTTAAGTAGTTGGATATGGAATTTATTTCAATCCTGAGACGGGAATTGTTTTTATATTTTCACTCGTGCTTCGCAGTCGTGAAAATATATATAAGAAAATCCTGTCCCACTCGTGAAATAAATTCCATATCCAATAACAAAACATTGAATAACCTCTATTTATTACATCGTATATTTCGTATATGCATACATTAACACGTCTCCAGGCTTTAGTGTTTATCTTCTTTATCAATTTTTGCAGAAACATCTGCCCTAGGGACGTCCTTCTTTATGTATCTGAAGGAAACACATGTAACAGGACCTTAGAAGAGTTACAGAGCAGTATAGAAACTTTTGAAGGTATATTTCTGAAAACTCTTTATCCCTTGTTATCCAAAAAATCTCTCTCTCTCTCTCTCTCTCTCTCTCTCTCTTTTTAATGATGTTTATTTTCAAGTTACAAGTTTTTTTTTGTATGTTGTTTAACGTCCCTCTCGAGAATTTTTCACTCATATGGAGACGCCACCACTTGCCGGTGGAGAGCTGCAAATTTTGTCCTATACTCGGCACTTACGGCCATTGAGCAGTGAGGGATCTTTTTCGTGCCAGCACCTACTGCGACACGTGACCTCGGTTTATAGGGTCTCATCCGAAGGACCGGTCTCCACGTCCCACAGTGGGACTCGAACCCGTGACGCAAGGATCTAGTTAAGATATAATGCTGATAAAAAGCCTGATAGAAGGCATTCAAAGATATAGCAAGTTAATTGTATGCCCCGTAGAAGTTTAAAATGGGGACATGTCCATCTTCTGTGAGAAGTTTTAAAGATGTTAATATATTAGATATCGCACTGAGATTAGATTTTCTAAAGACTGATCAACCATGTATCATAGTATTCCACAATCATTACAAATTACATGCTTTCGTTTTTTTTTTTTTTTTTTTTTTTTTTTTTTTTTTTTTTTTTTGACAAATTTCATTGTTCGAGTCGTTCGTCATTAGAAGTGCTTTGTGTGTATATATATATATCCTTGGTATCCATACCCAGTCCACCCAACTTCCGGTTGCCCCAAATTTATGGAACAATCTTGAAATTGTGGTGTGGTGTTTACTTAATGGCTTGACTATCTATAATTAACATTTTTTGTTTGTTAATCTATTTGCAACAATTTTTCACTAGAAGTATAAAACAAATTATTAAAAAAATATATGTTTACTACCAAAGGAACCCCCTGAAGACACCATATTAACTGTTTTGGCACCCTCTTCTAGGATCAAATGCCACATGCAGTGTAATTTTTTATCTGATTTTTTTTTTAGTACAAACATAAAGAACGCAAACAGAAAGAAAAAAATAGAAAAATAGAAATTTATTCCTCCAAAAAAGTATGGATACGATTTTTATTTTTTCTATGAAATAGTCACGCTTCAGTTAACATTGTAGTTATTTATCAGTTAAGACATTTAAATGCCTCATTTTTTGCTAACGTAACATGATTATTTATCAAATACATCATTAACAAGTTTTGAAAAGTTAAATATTAATTTCATTTGGTGGTGCGTTAGCAATTTTGTCCAATATATATATATATATATATATATATATATATATATATATATATATATATATATATATATATATATATATATATATATATATATAGAGAGAGAGAGAGAGAGAGAGAGAGAGATCCAAGGTGAATTTACATTAACAATAAATGCATGACTGATTATATGAGTTGATACTGCGCCCCATACTTCCGATTGTTTTTCTTTTGTATTCATTGATTTTTTTTAATATAAGAAATGTTTTGTTAAAGATAGGACCGGAATGTTCCAAATGGTATTAAGAAGGAAAAATTGAACTAAGTCTTGATGTTAATCAAATTTTGTAAAATATGTATACTGTCGAACGTTGTGATTGTGTAAAAATATGTTTTAATTAGTATGTTTATCAAATTTTGAAAGGAAAGGATGGATGCAACTCAATTTGCACAGCATCATTCAATTATATGATCAACGACACCAGGCAGTATGATATTGTTCTAATAAAAGTAACTGTTTTCAACAACATAACAAATGCATCGCTAACTTTCAATGCCTGCAAGAAAGAAACTGGCAATAGTGATCGAACTTTATCTATAGATTGCTATAAAGTAGAAACTAATGGTAAGTCTAAATCACTTTTCTTAGGTTAGGACAATGGCTTCACCATGTTTTATAACATTTGAGTTTCCTGGGAATCCTAAAAAAAAACAACAGCATAGGTTAAGTTGGTTGAACATATTGACAATTTCTGACGGCACTTGCGTCGACATTGGATACCTTTACGATAACTCTCTGGACACGTTACGAATTGCATTTACCCAGTGATTGGCTTACATATCTCCAAAAATTTTATATGAGATAAAATATTTTCAAATATAATGTAAATATATTTTTCAAAAAATAATTATAGGTGGAATAAATACACCGGAGTAAAGTTTATTTTAACACAATCAATAAAATACGGTTTAAGTAATACAACCAAGAAATTCTGAACACGCCAAAAATGTTTTATGTCAAACATGCTGACAAACATGATGGTAATGATATCTCTAAAACAAGATTCTGACCATCTTAAATAGCTCATAAAAGACCATAATACCGAATAAGGTTTCTTCGCAAAAAAAAAAAAAAAAATGAGGCGAACTGTTTCCTAAAAAATAGTAAGAGTCCGTTTCTGAAAAAGAAAAAGAATCCTATTCAAAGAGTTACGTCATGATACAACTATCATTTCAAACATACATGTATATAAACAATAACATGCAGATCTAAAATTGGGTTGAGTTCACAAAATTCAAATACTCTACGTGCAAATTTAAGAATAGTTTACAAATAATGCACTGTTAACCTTTTTGTCGTATAGTTATTTATAAATTTGGTATATTTTCTGTCTATTTTAAACCTGTATTTTAGACAACATGAATACACCTAATTATAGATAAATTTCTTTATTTGTTTTTTTTAATAAAGCTTACTTTTACCAACGCTGGTGCAGAAATAGTTCGGATTGTCTACAAAATCAAGAGTGCTTACGGTATGCAGATCTGGGAGTCTGCTCAGCGACCTGTACAAACACCTTTAGTAACGTAAACAAAAGAAAAAGAGGTAAGGTTGGGATTTTTCCTACTCCATCTGTCCTCGAATGTCTCGTTAATAAACTATAAGAAATATTGCTTTCTTTTTTTAAATTTTATCCCATCTCATCAAAACGAATTTGTGGGGTTTTTTTTCCTTTAAATTCTCAAGTACTTGTATAAAGAATATTTAGTTTGAATCTTTTAGAATGAAATCTTTTATTCGACCAAAAAAAAAAAAGATTATAAAAAAAGAAAAAAAAATAGAATAAAGAAAAAAAAAGAAACAAAATCGAACTAAATTATTTTTTTTTATTTTGCATTTTCAAGCAATTCCACTCATATTCTTATTTTGACAACAACAAATCATTTTTTTTTTTGTCTTATTCACAATGATATCAAAAAAATTAAAAAAAAAAATGCATTGGCAGATATTTCCCTTACAGAAAACGAATTTGAGGGATTTGATATTGGATATGTGGTTGGCGCAGCTATTGGTGGACTTGTAACGGGCTTTGTGATTTGTGTTGTTATAGTCTTCATTTTCAAACGAAATAGAACAATCGGCAAGGGACAATCCAGGTTAGTTTTTATTGAGATTCAAAAGCATCCATAAAAAAAGAAAGACAGTAATGTTTTTAATCTATTTTTTTTTTCTTTAAGTGTTGCGCACCTGCTGAGACGCTGATTATGAAAAGCTGCTCCTTAGAAATTCAACATTTTTTTTTTCTTAAAAGGAGGAGGGGGTTATTAAATGACAACAATAAGCTCAAGGGAACAGATGGAACGCGTTTTATTTGTATATCCATACAAATGATGCTTAACCAAATGCAGTATATTAGGAGCCATTTTCTGTAATGACTTGAACTTTTATATAGGAGCTCTGGCACGCATATTGTCAGAGGCAGTAATGAAAGTAACTAAGACATATAGCAACCAAAATTTCATCACAATCGGTTACTATGCGTAGCTAAATATTTATTTAGTTAAAGACAATACATATTTAGCCGTTAAATTATAATAAAACAGCATATTGAAATACCATAAAGAGCGAAAAAAATAGAGGTTAACTATTCTCCTTCTACAATAAACAGTTGGCTCTAATATAAATCAATGATAATTTGTTAAGAATGTATTTTGCAGTGTGTTTTTATCGTTAAATGTGTTCAGAAGTCAATAACATTGCAGAGGAACGTGATTCAACAGTATGTCATGTCAATAAAAATAGATACGTTGTAAAGTGTACATTTAGTACCTCTTCTTTCCAAGTGTCTGCTCAGTTTTTTTTTTTTTTCGGAAGAGACCTTAACAACCGAGGCATCGCGTCACACCATTGGCAGGATACACGTCAGTATATGGGAACGACTCATATGAGTGAAAAATTGAAATGCAAACAATCAACCAATATGTTTTACTTTCAGGGAAGCTGAGGTACAATTCGAAAATAAAACAAATTTTGAAAAAGAAATCAATGAAAATGTAAGTTTTCTTTTGACTGTTTGTACCATATCCAAAATAATGTTTAATTGTTTAAAGTTTTTTTTTCTCTCTTTTTTAAAAAAAATTTCATGATAGCAGAAAGGAAATGAAAAAGGATCCATCATCAATAAAGACACGGAATATTCAACCGTCAGAAACTTACAGAAAGATAATGAAGACGTGTATAACCATCTTAATGAAGCAAATGATGAAAATAATCTTTGCATTTATGATCACGCCCACCAAGCCGCAACAACATCATGAGGAATACATACCTTACAATACATGTTGAAATTCCCTACAAATGTGGTGGTATGCACAGGATATGTAATTATTTTTTAATATATCCTTGATAGATATGGACGATTGATCTGAGAAGAAGGAAAAGAAAACATTTCACTGAATTTTATTTCTTAGAATTCGGTTAATTTTACATTTAAAACAAAATCAAAATTTCACGATATATCTTACATAGTTTTCACATTATTGGGACATATTTGAAATGTTCAAGAATGACATCGTTAGGCATATATGTAGTATAAACCCATAGCTTATTGACTATACTTTGCTTTGATTAAGTTTTCAATCTCCTGTTTTTCAAAACGTTATTTAAGAATCAGAATGAAATATAGGTATAAATGTCTTCTAAGATATTAAAATATGATACTATTTTTGAGGCGACGTTAATTAAAGGCTTAGATGCTGTAATACCTACATGTATATAGGTTCACTTACATAGTGTATTTCTATTGAAAGTTGTGTATCAAGTGTCTAATTTTCGAGAATGTGAATATTGCTTCTTAAGAATATACAAAGAATAATGCCATTATCAAATCATTATCAAATTAATTTATTTATGAGGAACCTTTTAGAATCCGAACTTTAACATCTTGAGTATCATCTTTTCGGTATATTTGAATTCATCCCAAAACCACCTACCGCTACCTCCTCCCTGCCCTCCGTATGAAGTTTGTTTGTTTATTGTTTAACGTCCCTCTCGAGAATTTTTTACTCACATCACTTTACGGTGGAGAGCTGCAAATTTCGATCTATACTCGGCACTCAGGGCCATTAAGCAGTGAGGGATCTTTTTAGTGCCAGCACCTACTGCGACACGGGACGTCTGTTTATACGGTCTCCTCCGAAGGACCGGTCTCCACGTCCCACAGTGGGATTCGAACCCACGTCGTAAGGATCAACTCTTTACTCCGCGACTCTAACCACTGTGCCACGCGGGTGACCCGTATGAAAAGCGGTTTTTTATTTTGCGCAAATTATTTATTCTTTGTTCGATGACAATATGTTGCATACCTGACATGAATCTATATATTGAAGATTCGTTACACATTTTTTCTGTCTCGCTAATACGAGTTTACATTTTTTTTAATAAAGTTTTGTTCACGTGAAATTGCTTCTGGAACACGCATTGAAAACTTTGTTCAATAAGCCATTTCTTTCCAGTTCAATTTTAAAATATTTTACTTCCTATGTCCTGTGATGTAAATACTTTGTTTCAATAAAATCATATACATGTTGTATAACTCAAAATGAATATTTCTTCTTGCAATTCAGCATGCATCTGTTATTTGATTTTTGCCAAAGCAAAATACATTCATTTGGTATTATGATATGGGATAATCAGAAATGGGACTATTGTGTTACTCGGTGCTAGTTTAAGTAATATTCTTGTATTCAATGTAAATTGCATCTATCAAATACAGGCTAATAACATTCAATTTCAAGACTCTGTGATAAGTGAACTTCATTTAACAAACAACAATATGTACATGATAGCTGAGAGTAAATAGAACAAAGTAGATTGGATTTGTTTGAACTTTTAACTAAGAAAAAGTAAGGAACTGAGCTCAGAGCAAACGGTACTAGAATTAATTATAGTTGTACTTAAAAATTATATTAAAACATACTGTGTTTATAGACACAAAATAATAATAATAAAAAAAAAGAAAATTAAAAAAGAGGTTAAAAAGATGGTATTGTTCTGCACCTTAATTTTTTTTTTTTTTTTTTTTTTTTTTTTTTTTTTTTTTTTTTTTTTATAAGCAACTTCAAATAAAACCCAGCCATTTCACTGCTAGATTAAAACAAATCGTAGATATTTTTTAACTGCAATGTAGACTGGCCACATGTAAACAGTCTTCAATCTGTAGACTACAGTCGATCTGTTGAGTGAATGACCAAATTTCCTTGCCTATGCCCGTCACGCAAGTCTGCTACTTATGTTCGGCCCTGTTTACAAAATATGGAGTAATTAGCTGAAATTATATGACGGACAACAACATTCAATAATGGAGAGTAAAAGCACGAAATATGTAAAGCTGTAGAAAGCAATACTTCTGGTAATGGAGATTGTGCGTGAAAACAATACAAAAAAAAATTTTAAAAAAGTCTTGTCACGTCAACAATAGATAACGTCAATGGCATTTTATACACAAACCTAATTTATCGCAAAACTTATATACACAATGTCCTCGGATACAACCTTTTTGTTTGACCCTCAAACGGATCTGTTACCCTCAGCTAAGGTCTTCTGTATGAATCAAACGACACATCTCCTTGGCAACTGATCCCAGGCCACCTTTGGAGTTTCTTTGGGTCCGTGTTTTATGCCCTATCCACATTTTTTTTATTGTTTATAAAGAATTATTTAGATCAATCATTGTTGGATATCTTCACCCTGTCAATAATTGTATCTCTTTATAATCATGGACAATATAAGATAGCTGCTTACTGTTAACATTTATAGTACTGGCTAATGATTTATATAGTATGTACATGTACATACACCGTCCGCAAGGCACACATCAGGTTCAAATAAATCTGGATGAATAAGCTGAATTAAATGTATGCATACACAAAATTTCTATTACATAGTTCAATTGTGTACCCCCTATCTTACCTTTTGATGGGTTACATGTATCTCATTAACCCATGGGGTTTCCCATAACAAAACATGGACACTGCTATTCTTTCTATAATACTGGAGGAACTCATCTCGTATGCCACTGAATGAAATTCATTGGGACGTTCAGAAATAGTTTGTGTTACATAATGCCATAATGCACTTCTCAATTAACAATATATATATATATATATATATATGGGGAGAGGAAGATGCTGAATCTATAATATCAAAATGGAAAAGATTTCTGGATGATTGTTTTATTCTATGGAATGACAATGTTGACAGATTATCCGTTTTCCACCAGTTGTTAAACGGCTTGGATTCTAATATCAGATTTACAATGGAAAGCAGTGATACCAAATTACCTTTTCTTGACGTCCTAGTCATCAAAGAAGATACAAAACTTTCTACGGATATCTATTACAAATCAACTGACACCCACCAGTACCTACATTTTGCTTCCTGTCACCCTCACCATACAAAAACAGCAATCCCTTACAATCTTGCTAGACGTTTATGTGCTATCGTTAGCGATGATAACACTAGAGATATCCGACTAAAAGAGCTCAAGTCGTACCTTATAAAACAGGGATATCCTGAAACCCTCATAGATAACGGTATATTGAAAGCCAAAGGATATACACGATCTGAATTACTGTCTACAAAGAGCAAGGAAAATAAAACGGAAATTATTCCATTTGTGCATACTCACAACCCACGGAATCATAACTTGACCTCTATAATTCACCAACTGAACAACATTCTTAAAGATGACCTATCAACAAAACGAATATATAAAGATGTAAAATTTATCAACAGCAGACGACAACCTAGGAATCTTAGAAGAATCCTGTGTTCTTCTCATTTTAAAAATACCTGCGCAGTCGCCAAGTGTGAGGACGCACGTTGCGGGACATGCCAACATATCATAGAAGGATCAACTTATAATTTTAACGGAAGACAATTTACAGTCAACGCAAATATGTCTTGTGACACTAAAAATGTAATATATGTAATTACATGTCCTGGATGCCACCAGTATTACATCGGGGAAACAAGCAACCCGCTCCGCGCCCGTGTGCGTGTCCACAGACAACATATTAACTCACCGGAATATCGACAAATCCCTCTAAGTGAGCATTTGGATCGCTGTGGAAATAAACAGTTTACTATATTTCCTTTTTACAAACTTTCAAATGAAAGTGACATCCAGAGACGCGAAAAAGAAAAACATTTTATACATGTTTTCAAACCTAAACTTAACAATTTATCGTAATCGTAATCAC